GAAGCTAGAATTACTAGAGACTCTTAGGTACACTACCTTGAACCGCCAGAGAAAAGGTAGACTGGTAGCATAATCAAAAATAATACGAAACCTTTTGTATTTTAACTAACACTGTCTCAATAAGCTAAGTTAGATTGTTTCTATCCTGCCTTTAATTTCTTTTATTTACTCGCTTTCTCCACCGCATAGGAATGCTTCCTGTGAAAGGGGCTACAGCAGGGGTGTCAAACTCGATTACATTGAGGCAGTGGTGGGATTCAAGTAATTTAACAACCGGTTCTCTTCCCTAATGATTTCTTCCAACAACCAGTTTGACAAATTGCTCAGAAAGTTAACAACTGGTTCTCCAGAAGTGGTGTGAACTGGCTGAATCCCACCACTGCATTGAGGGCTGCATCAGGGTTGTGTTTGACCTCGGAGGGCCGGGGTGGGTGTGGCCAGGGTGGGTGTGGCCAGCTTGATGTCACTCATGTCAGGGGCGCCTGTGGGAGCTCGAGCACTCTGCCAGCGAAAATTGGCTCCCGAGCTCCGTTTTCGGCTGCAATGGCCTCCTGCAACCTTCTACCAGCTAAAACGGAGCTCACAAGGGCTGCATGCGACCCTCCTGAACCCCGTTTTCACTTGCAGAGGCCCTGAGGTCCGGTCCTTTGCAATTTTCAGGGTGGGCCCATGGGTCAGATCTAAGTACCCTGAGGGCCGAATCCGGCCCCCGGGCTTTGAGTTTGACACCTTTGGACTACAGTGATGTGTATGCATTTATGGGTTTTGTAACATCTCCCTTATCCTGTACGCTGAACTGCATAATCCAGGCGATATAATTTGAAGTTGGTAAATGTGAAGTGTAAACCTTGCATCACTTAAGCCAGTATACCTGGCTTTAAATTAGGCTTTCCTGGCTAGCGTTCCATCTTATTCATCAAGCTGCAGAAGACAGGAGGAGAAGCAGAGAAATTCTAGCAGAGCAATTCTAATATCACTGCTGGATGTGGAATGTTTCCATGATTCTCACCTTGCCATTCTATCATGCTATTTTATATTCGTAATAGCTTGTACTGTGTGTTCAGATTGTAAATGTGATGACAAAGAATTATAGATATTCACTAACTGCTTCAGGATCCTTTGGGGCTGATTTTGCTAGAAACCAAGTCCATAAACTAATTAATTATTTAGCATATGATGAGAATATGGCAGAAGAGAAGTAAACCTATACACACAATCCATAAACTAATTCTGAGATACAGACTTGTTGAAATTTGCTGGTTAAATGTATTCTTAAGTTTTAAATGGTTTAGGCAGCAGGTGATCATGTGCGTTTGATTTCACAAATCCTTCTATGTGATTAAAACAATGACTTGTTGAACATTTCCTCAAATACCAAGTGTGATTGTGTGTCTAAATCACTAACCAATTACATAATGGCTTAGTCCAAAAGATAAATGACTTTCTCTAAGCATGACAAAGTTGAAATCCAAGCCCGTGACACTGGTTTGTATATCTCATTCCATTATCTACTTAAAACAAGAAATACAAGGGAGATTGATTTTGTGGCTGTAGTGATTGGCTGGTGGAGTGGTTCATTAAATAAGCAAGGGTATTATTTTTTCCTGAATTAAAAAAAAAGAATGGATAATTTAAAAGTTTATTTATTCTGGTAGATATACTTAAGTAATGCTCTCCTTCAAGTGCTTGCTTATCTTAGCCATGACTGTAGCTATTTGTTATAGTTGCAAACATTATATATTTGATGTATGTATGTGTATGTGTGTGTGTACACATACATAGAGACACACACACACACACATATACATACACATATATATACATCCTCACCTGAACATTCAACCCAGGTGTAACCCCAATGTCAAGGGAAAGCTGAAGGAAGTAGTACTGTGAAAATGGTCCTAACAAGAATGAGACAATTTTGTGAGACTACATCACACTCTCAATCCCACATGAAACACACAGAAAGTTGTGTTGGGGAGAGGAGAATTAGATTTATTTATTTATTTTTTATTTGATTTGATTTTTATCCAACAGGGCGGTGAACAGCCGAGATAAAACATAGCATATAAAATCTCCTATACATCAGATAGTATAAGATCTCCTATACATCAGATAGGAACCATTTACACTGGGAGTTCAGGAGACATGCAAATACACTTAACTGGATAAAGGGCTAAGGAGATAGAAAAATATAAAAAGAGGATGTCTATGCTAGTACATAAGTAAACTGCACAGCACATTTGATCTCTCTTCTAAAATTTCATGCTGAATAAGCATCATGGACAGAAAACGGAAAAATAAAGAATCCATGTGTGCTTTTATTATAGTGCCACAGCAAATACCACAGTTTTCTTCCATACTTCCATACTTTATATCACTTATTTAAAAATCAGGTGTAATTGATTGTCTATTGGTGTCTGGGTTTAGCTTTTGTCCACCCTTCATTCTACCATCTCCCTTCAATTAAAAAAGGGAGAGAACAGTTAAGCATTTTTGGATGGCTACTAGGAAAGCAGTGTGTAAAAACATAATACCATTTTCCTAGGAAAAAGGGAAAATGAATGCTGCCCTGAAGCATTTACACTCATGAGAATATTTAAAAACCATTGGATGTGTTTTGCCGTTTTGCTCCAATGGGGGGAGGGAATGTTTGGACTGTTTCAAATGGGGGGGTGTTGTCATTTTTTTGGCTAACAAAGCTTCGATGGTGTGTTGGATGTGAATGAATTCATATGGATTTACATCAAGGGGAATGCAGCAAATATTTAGACTGCAGTCCGATGTGATGGTTTTCTGTTATCTGGGCACTTGTATAAATGATTATGATGATTAGTTGGTTGAGTCAGACAGAAGCAGAAGAAAGGCAGAAAATAAACAACAGAGCATAAAATGTTCGTCCTCTCCTTCAAAACTGAATTGTTAGATGGCACCCAGTAGCCAACCAATCTCTGCAAAATACTTTCATCATATGATTCCCCTGCTGGCTCCACCATTTCAATATTACAGCTGCCTTCTCCCCCACCCTTTATTGTTTAGCCTTGAAAAGAGACAATTTAAAGGTGAAAGGAAACAGGATGGCAACTTTCCAATTTAATGAGATCTGTTTTTTCTTGTTCCAAAAAGCAGGGCTCAAACCAAGGGGTTCAATTTCCTGGGGGGAAAAAAGGGGGTGGGTGGGTTTAATGAAAGATTAGTCAGCATTTCCTGCAGCTCTTTCCATTTGATCCCGGAAAGCAGGAAAAGGTGAGTTAGACTTTTGGTCCAACTGGTCCACCCATTGATTGGAATTGATTTTCCAAGATTCTAGGAGAAAGTTTTCCGAGTCATTCTTGAGGGTGGAGCATACAATCCATCTCCACACAAACTATGGCGCAGAGCCGAGGTGGCGCAGTAGTTAGAGTGCAGTACTGCAGGCTACTTCAACTGACTGCTAGCTACAGTTCAGCAGATCGAATCTCACCGGCTCAAGGTTGACTCAGCCTTCCATCCCCCCGAGGTGGGACCCAGATTGTTGGGGGCAATATGCTAACTCTGTAAACCGCTTAGAGAGGGCTTTGAAGCACTATGAAGCGGTATATAAGTCTAAGTGCTATTGCTATTGCTATGGATTTAGTGACTCAGCTATGGATTTAACATGCTAAATCTGGTATTAAGCAGAGGCTGGACAGCTACCGTATTTTTCAGAGTATAAGACGCACCTTTTCCCCCCCTAAAAGGGAGTGAAAATTTAGGTGCGTCTTATACACCGAATGCAGCCCCGCCCACCCACTGGCCCCCACCCTTTGGCCTCTGCCTCGCAGCAGTTACCTCCTTGCAAGCAAACAGCAAGAAAAAAACAGCTCCTTTCAGCTTCAGCAGAGCCTAATTAGCACAAGTTGATTGGATCGGCCTCCCGACTCTCAGCTGATTTGCTCTCAGCTGTTTTGTGCAGGGCTCTGCTGCTTGCTGCAAAGAAGTAAATTGCTGGAGCAGATTTTTTTTTCCTTGTGCTAATCAAGCTATGCTAAAAACGAAAATGAAAGTAAAGCAAGCTGTTTGCTGTTTGCTGCATGGCAGAGGCAGATTTCTTTTTCTTCTTTTCCTCACCAAAAAAGGTAGATGCGTCTTATACTCCGAAAAATACAGTATGTATCAATCCTGGGTAAAAAAAGTAATAGCAATAGCAATAGCACTTAAACTTATATACTGCTTCACGGTGCTTTACAGCCTCTCTAAGAGGTTTACAGAGTCAGCCTATTGCCCCCAACAATCTGCGTCCTCATTTTACCGACCTAGGAAGGAGTTAAGGCTGAGTCAACCTTGAGCCGCTCAGAATCGAACTGCTGGCCGTCGGCAGAATTAGCCTGCAATACTGCATTCTAATCACTGCGCCACCACAGCTCTTAGAATGAAGATGTTTTATAATAATGTTTTATAATAAGTATTATTATAATAAGGATGTTTTATATCAACAAGAGATTGAATTAGATTCCCTGAAATCTATGACTGTAGGTGTACAACTTCTATGATTTCTCCTATAACTGGATAGGTTTAAGTATGAGGTACTTCAATCAGCTTTTAGTTATATAGTTAAAGCAAATGCAGGTAGAATGTGTGCTAAACAGCATCAGAACAATCAAAGAACTACAGGAAAACATTAGCTTCAGCAAATATATTCTTATTAGTACTTGTTACTATGACCAGCTACTAAATATTAGCTATCCTGCCTCAAATCTCCAGGGGAGATATATTTCACAATATGATAAAAATGGGAGACTGGCAAGGGATTCCACCTCTTCCATAAAGCAAGGCAGGGGAGATAAAATTGTTTAGCCATACTGGAAGGGAATAGGAGAAGCTCTAAGATACATAAATACCTTTGAATGGTCAGTTCCCCAAATGTAATGAACATGTGATGCCAATCAGAAAATGAGCAAATGCTGTTCTTCTTTGAAATTGATTCATGCTGCGATTAACACGTTTTAAAGAGATTCTAAGAAACAGTAAAAGAAACTTACCATGTATGAAGCAAATTAAGAATTTCAAGAACCCTGCTCCTTAGCTCCTGCATCCATAGTTCAGAAGTCCTTCTGCAGCGGTTGAATCTGAAAGCAGCATAGATGTATAGGATAAATAGCAGTGGTGAAATCCAAATTTTTTTACTACCGGTTCTGTGGGCGTGGCTTGGTGGGCGTAGTGTGGCGCGGTGGGCATGGCAGGGGAAGGATATTGCAAAATCTCCATTCCCACCCCACTCCAGGGGAAGGATATTGCAAAATCTCCATTCCCACCCCACTCTGGGGCCAGCCAGAGGTGGTATTTGCCGGTTCTCTGAACTACTCAAAATTTCTGCTACTGGTTCTCCAGAACCTGCTGGATTTCACCCCTGATAAATAGGGAGAAAGAGTTAAAGGAGATACCAGGAAATTCCCATGTCCTACAAGGAAGGACCTTAATGTAGGTTTCAATTATTTCTTAGGGCTGGGGAGAGGGTCATTCTGAAGTTTATGATGGTAAGGACAGCCAATCTTTAGGGCTAATTGAAGGAAAATCCGAAGATATTTCAGCAGGATGCATTAGTTTTAATGTGGTTTCTTGGGGCGGTTTCTTTTTGTACACTATGCCTTTTAAATGATTTTTTAAAGGCTTGAGAATGCACAAAAATAGGCAGGGAAGCAAAATCCTCTCCTGCATTAACAGATGTAACTAATCAAAGCTCATTTAGCACTGGAACATCTGGAAGACAGAGAAGTAATTCTGGATGCTGTAAGAATATGTTGGTTCTGCATCCTTAGGGTGATATTTTAAAATGGGGATATCAAACTGGATTTCTTTGTATCATCATTGTATTTCTCCCCTGCAGGCCGGCGGGAGGAGGGAGTGAGGGGGGGGAGATGGGACGGACACCTCCTTCAGCACTTTACCGGCCAAAATGGGGCACAAGGGGCCGCATGTGAGCCCCCTGAGCCTCGTTTTTTGCCTTCCTGGCCTCCAGCAGTACTGAAGGTGCTCCTGAGGCCTCTGTGCGGCCTGTTTTTGGCCGGTAGAGTGCTGATGGAGGCCGGGAAGGACAAAATCGGGCTGCGGGGGGGGAGGGGGGGAATGCGGCCCATTTTGCCTGGCAGAGGCACCACAGGCCGGTCCTTTGATATTTCCAGGCCGGCCCCGTGGACCAGATTTAAGCACCCCATGGGCCGGATCCAGCCTGTACGCCTTGAGTTTGACACCCTGGTTTTAAAAGGAGGAAACTTTGAAAAAAAAACCCGGCCCAGGAGCACAAGGAAGTGTGAATGCCACCCCTTTGATGGGCAAACTTGTAAAGATTTATATGAACTTTTCAATCATTAAAATATCTGCACCCATGTGTGCAGGTGGTAAATAGCACAGTGAAGGGACAAGTAGCCCATTTTGGCTCAGCAGCAATAGAAATAGAACATATTAGCAAATACATAACACCGTCTGTCATTTAACTTGCAACAGACTGGCGTTTGCTTTCCTGCAACTGCATTTGGCCTCCCTCTTTCCTTGTTTGTACTACATGTGCTTCCAAAGCTAACTCCAGTTGGCACAAAGTTTACATGAACCAGCTTTTTGATGGTGTACAAACTGTACTTGAGAGCAAAGCCATCATAACAGAGCAGAAATCTGCTCTACTCTCAATTTCTTCACTGTTTATGTATTTCCTGGGTGGTACATTTCTTTTTTTTTAATGTGAGTTGGCTTAATTAGGCAGAAGTACCTAAGTTTTTACAAGTCACCACTTTCAGTAGAGAGTACCTTTTCACCCTGTTTTTCCTATACTAAAAATAAATATTAAAAAAAAATATTTATTTGTCCAGTGAGACAAAATATCCAGAGATTACTGATCAGTTTTATGCAATCCTTCTCAATCAGATACCCTTCAAATGTACCATAAAAGCAAAATTCAGAGTTCCCAGCAAGCTCACCATCATCCAACTTTCCTTTTTAAGATTAACAGTAAGACTCGTAAGATTTATATTTATGGCAATGCTCTACTGCAGATAACCTTATTTCATGAGATCTTCAATATCACAGTTTTATTCAGTTGTCTAAAAGTGGAATAAGGTTTTCCCTCTGCAACTCTGTTTAACATGTGATAGAGTACGGACTGAGAAGAGAGGCGCAAGCATTTTGAATGTTAACTGTTTTGAATTTGAAAGATCCTGTATCAAGCTCAAAACACATTTTGAACACAAAATACTTCCCAAATAGTTGAAATGGCCCATTTCATGCTTGAAATAACTGTTTCATGCTCAAGAAGGATATTTCCATCTTGAAATGGAGTGTTCAGCATTCCAAGTGATTTGAATTGAATTTCATCACTTTTATGACTTGGCTGTACAAGAAATCCAAAACAGGTGGCATCAAAGGAGAAAGGTATTTTCTTGAGGTAGAGCAGCTTCCCCTAGGCCTAGAGTAATGTGTCCAGAAGGGCAGAAAGAAAGGTCACAATTTGCAAAAAGCAAACTCCCAATATTCTTAGCCACTAGAATTGTGGATATTAAAACACCCAACATTTCTGGAGGCACCAAATGACTATTTTTTAAAAAAGGAAATAGTTCACCCCCTCCTTTTCTCCATCAATTACTCAGTCTGATCTTCAAAATTTCTATTTCATGTGTTTCAAATCAACACCAAAGATAGACATTTTCTATGCTTTTTGCAACAGTTCTTATTTGAACTTGTGAAAGAGGATTTGTTCAGAAATTCCTTCAAATTCTTATCCTCAACTAATTCTAAGTTTCAAACTGATGTGTGTTTTTGTGTGATTTGTACAATCTCTCCAATAGTCAGTAGCCTTCCTGTTTTCTTAGACCTTAATTAAATTGCAAGGAGGAATCATCAGGGAATTTCCCCATAGGTTTCTTTTTTTAAAAAAAATGGTGCTACTATCTCAACCTCAACCTCAACATCATTGGGACTCCTCTAAGTGAGAAACACAAGTTGTAAAGGCATTATTGGTAATGATCAGCACCTTGAATTGCACTTAGAAACAAACTTATAACTAATGCAGTTCCAGTAGCAGCAGTATGGCATTATAGTAATGGGTCAGCCCACAAGTTATTCAGCAGCTATATTTTGCAACAGCTGGAGTTTCTGGGTGATGTTCAAGGGCACTCCCTTCCAGGGCAGATTACAATAATCCAAGTGAAGACAACAGCATGAATGACTGCCTTTATTCCATTCTAAGGATGGCCACAACTGGCAACCCAGTTGAAGATGGGAAAAAGCCTTCTTGGCCAAGGCTTCCATCTGCTCTTCCAGTAGGAGACACAAGTCCAGGTGGATTCCCAGTTGATGGCTCTTTGAGAGGGAGCACAACTCCAAAGTTGGTGTAATTAAAGGCTCAAGAGGTTTCTGAATTACCATCTTTCCATCTTGTCTGGGTTGTTTCTGAGCCTGTTTCTCCCCATCCAGATCCTGATAGCTTCCAGGCACTAGGTCAGAACATCTCCTGCATTTTCTATTTGGCTCAGATTGGAGACATTCAATTTATATACCACCAGTATAGGGTTACTATGTCACCTCAAACTGACAAATTAACTCATCTAGTGACTCCACGTTGATATTAAACAACATCAAGTTGAAGGCTAAGCCCTACAGCAACCCACATTGCAATCTCAGAGGGTCTGACCTCTGTGCCTCCATAGCCACTGACAGGCTCACTCGCTTAGGAAAGAGTGCAGCCACCAGAAATATGGTCTCCACCAGTCCTAACCCATGTGGACAACGCAAAAGGAGACTATGGTTGACAATATCAAATGCTGTGAGAGATCTGGTAACACAAGAAAGATTCACACTCTTCTCATCCAACTTCCTGTAAAGCTTGTCCAGGAGAGCGACCAAAGTAGTTTCCATCCAATGGCCAGAGTTAAGGTTAGGACAGGTGATTCAGTCAGGAGATTTACAGAGAAGAGGAAACAAATTTATTCTCTATTGCTCCACAGGTCAGAGCCAGAATCAATGGCTTAAAACTGCAGGGAAGGGGGTTCTGGAGAGACACCAGGAGGAACTTCCAGACTGACCTTTTAGCCAGCAGAATAGTCTGCCACATGAAATGGCAAGTTCTCCTTCACTATATATGTTCAAAGATGCTTGAGGGCGATTACTGGACCCTGCAATGAGCAATTATTTGGACTAAATTATCTCAAAAGTCCTTTCCAGTGCATATGTTTATACTATCTCATTCTAAAGAGGCTAAAATGGGAAATTATCATCAGAACCAGTTATTGCCTTATTTAGGAAAGACTTCTGTCCTTATTCACCTTGTAGGCAAGGGGAGGAATACTGTATCAGATACATATTCCGGACTCTGACTGGCTTGTGCATTTGATTTATTAGAGAAGCTTCCTGAACAATGAATGCCCCTGGAAGGCAATAGATGATGTGTAATTACTTCCTCTACTTCATGATTTCCATTTGCAATGCCCTTACAAACCCAAGCCATCTGTCCGATTGCCCAATAAAACTTCTGCAGCCTCCAGTGATTCTGACAAGAGGCAGGGAGAACTTGATAGAGGAGGGAAGACCAAAAGATCAAATTCCCCTATTTATCTGTTAGCGCCTTGGATTGAAAGACACCGCACCACACAAAAGAGATTTCTGAAACTGCAGGCATCTTGCTAGAAGATTGAAGAGGGACGAGAAAATGTCAACCATTCCTGTGGTTCTAACCATGAAGAAAGAGAAGATAATTGTCACAGAGATGGAGGAAGGGAGGAAGTGACACCGAGTCAGAAGAGATAGGTCCTATTCCTTCCAGATGAAGAGAGAGAAATGGAGAGGAGGGTAGTATGAGAACTCGATTGAGAACTAGAGAGTCGGAGCTTCTCAGAAAAGAGTTGTGAAAACAACCAAGAGTCAACCTGCTCCCAGATTGAAAAGTGTAAGGTCAAATATCTGTTAAACCATAGCAAAGGCAAGAAAAGAAATGCCACAATTAACTGTCATGGATATAAGAAAACCCCCAAGTTCATGTTGATAAAGGGCAATCAATTGCTGAAGAAAACAGCTTCATCCTCACAGGCAAACTTCTCCTCTAACTATGACATGACAAGTATCTGGGAGGCTTCTCCCAAGTATG